GTATGGGAGTCTAAGTCTCTTTGTACGTCTCTAAGGACTTGCTTTATGAATCTGGGTGCTCCTGTATTGGGTGCATATATATTTAGGATAGTTAGCTCTTCCTGTTGAATTGATCCCTTTACCATTATGTAATGGCCTTCTTTGTCTCTTTTGATCTTTGATGGTTTAAAGTCTGTTTTATCAGAGACTAGTATTGCAAACCCTGCTTTTTTTTGTTCTCCATTTGCTTGGTAGATCTTCCTCCATCCCTTTATTTTGCGCCTATGTATGTCTCTGCATGTGAGATGGGTCTCCTGAATACAGCAGACTGATGGGTCTTGACTCTTTATCCAGTTTGCCAGTCTGTGTCTTTTAATTGGAGCATTTAGTCCATTTACATTTAAGGTTAATATTGTTATGTGTGAACTTGATCCTGCCATTATGATATTAACTGGTTATTTTGCTCGTTAGTTGATGCAGTTTCTTCCTAGCCTCGATGGTCTTTACATTTTGGCATGTTTTTGCAATGGCTGGTACCGGTTGTTCCTTTCCATGTTTAGTGCTTCCTTCAGGGTCTCTTGTAAGGCAGGCCTGGTGGTGACAAAATCTCTAAGCATTTGCTTATCTGTAAAGGATTTTATTTCTCCTTCACTTATGAAACTTAGTTTGGCTGGATGTAAAATTCTGGGTTGAAAATTCTTTTCTTTAAGAATGTTGAATATTGGCCCCCACTTTCTTCTGGCTTGGAGAGTTTCTGCCGAGAGATCTGCTGTTAGTCTGATGGGCTTCCCTTTGTGGGTAACCCGAGCTTTCTCTCTGGCTGCCCTTAAGATTTTTTCCTTCTTTTCAACTTTGGTGAATCTGGCATTTATGTGTCTTGGAGTTGCTCTTCTCGAGGAGTATCTTTGTGGCGTTCTCTGTATTTCCTGGATTTGAATGTTGGCCTGCCCTACTATGTTGGGGAAGTTCTCCTGGATGATATCCTGAAGAGTGTTTTCCAACTTGGTTCCATTTTCCCCCTCACTTTCAGGCACCCCAATCAGACGTAGATTTGGTCTTTTTACATAATCCCATACCTCTTGCAGGTTTTGTTCATTTCTTTTTCTTCTTTTTTCTTTTGGTTTCTCTTCTCGCTTCATTTCATTCATTTGATCCTCAATCGCTGATACTCTTTCTTCCAGTTGATCGAGTCGGTTACTGAAGCTTGTGCATTTGTCACGTATTTCTCGTGTCTTGGTTTTCATCTCTGTCATTTCGTTTATGACCTTCTCTGCATTAATTACTCTAGCTATCAATTCTTCCACTCTCTTTTCAAGATTTTTAGTTTCTTTGCGCTGGGTACGTAATTCCTCCTTTAGCTCTGAGAAGTTTGATGGACTGAAGCCTTCTTCTCTCATCTCGTCAAAGTCATTCTCCGTCCAGCTTTGATCCATTGCTGGCGATGAGCTGCGCTCCTTTGCAGAGGGAGATGCGCTCTTATATATTGAATTTCCAGGTTTTCTGCCCTGCTTTTTCCCCATCTTTGTGGTTTTATCTGCCTCTGGTCTTTGATGATGGTGACGTACTGATGGGGTTTTGGTGTAGGCGTCCTTCCTGTTTGATAGTTTTCCTTCTAACAGTCAGGACCCTCAGCTGTAGGTCTGCTGGAGATTGCTTGAGGTCCACTCCAGACCCTGTTTGCCTGGGTATCAGCAGCAGAGGCTGCAGAAGATAGAATATTGCTGAACAGCGTGTGTACCTGTCTGATTCTTACTTTGGAAGCTTCTTCTCAGGGGTGTACTCCACCGTGTGAGGTGTGGGGTGTCAGACTGCCCCTAGTGGGGGATGTCTCCCAGTTAGGCTACTCAGGGGTCAGGGACCCACTTGAGCAGGCAGTCTGTCCCTTCTCAGAGCTCAACCTCCGTGTTGGGAGATCCACTGCTTTCTTCAAAGCTGTCAGAGTCGTTTGCGTCTGCAGAGGTTTCTGCTGCTTTTTTGTTGTTGTTGTTGTTGTTGTTGTTGTTTAGCTGTGCCCTGTCCCCAGAGGTGGAGTCTACTGAGACAGGCAGGTTTCCTTGAGTTGCTGTGAGCTCCACCCAGTTCGAGCTTCCCGGGGGCTTTGTTTACCTACTTAAGCCTCAGCAATGGCGGGCGCCCCTCCCCCAGCCTCGCTGCTGCCTTGTGGTTAGATCGCAGGCTGCTGTGCTAGCAGTGAGGGAGGCTCCGTGGGCGTGGGACCCTCCCGGCCAGGTTTGGGATATAATCTCCTGGTGTGCCCGTTTGCTTAAAGCGCAGTATTGGGGTGGGAGTTACCCGATTTTCCAGGTGTTGTGTGTCTCAGTTCCCCTGGCTAGGAAAAGGGATTCCCTTCCCCCTTGTGCTTCCCAGGTGAGGCGATGCCTCGCCCTGCTTCAGCTCTGGCTGGTCGGGCTGCAGCAGCTGACCAGCACCGATTGTCTGGCACTCCCTAGTGAGATGAACCCAGTACCTCAGTTGAAAATGTGTCTTTCGCGCTGGGAGTTGGAGACTGGAGCTGTTCCTATTCGGCCATCTTGCTCTGCCCCCCGACTATTGTGTTTTTAAAGCATAATAATAGCAATTTATTGTGGGGTTTATAGCTTATATAGAAGTAAAATATAAGACAATAAGAACACAAAGGGAGGGAGGGATAAATGGAATTATACTATTAATAAAGTTTTTATGTTGCTCAAATAATATTTCAAGATCGACTGTGGTAACTTAGATCAAAGTATAATCTCTAGAGCAACTACTAATAGCTAACATAAAGAAGTACAGCTAGAGCCAGGCACGGTGGCTTGTGCCTGTAATCTCAGCTACTAGGGAGGCTGTGGCAGAAGATTACTTGAGTCCAGGAGTTTGAGAAGCTGCGGTGAGCTATGATTTCATCATTGCTCCCCTGCCTGGGCAACAGAGCAAGACCCCATGTCTTAAAAAGAAAAGAAAAAGTATAGCTAAAAAGACAATGTAAGAAATAAAAATGGAATACTAAAAAATATGCAGTTCAATGAAAAGAAGACAGGAAAAGAGAAACACATAAAGAACAAATTGAATAAATTAAAAATGCATACCAAGGTGGTAGACTTAAATCCAATCATATAGTAGTTAAATTCAGTGGGCTAAACACATCAATTAAAAGGAAGAGATTTTCAAACTAGATTTTTTTTAAAAGGAAAGATCCAACTATATGTTGTTTATAAGAAACAGCATTTTAAATATGAAGACACTGACAGATGGAAAATAAAGGTGAAAAAGTATGTATGCCATGCAAACGTGAAGCATTAAAAAGCTGGCATTGCTATATTAATCAGAAAAAGTAGACTTCCAAACAAAGGTCATTCTAAGAGACAACAAAAGAAATTTTTTATTGGTAAAAGGAGCATACAAATAAGATAAAACAATTCTAAATGTATAGACCCCTAATAACAAAGCTTCAACCTACGCAAAGCAAAAAGTGACAAATTGAGAAAAAGATCTACAGCATAATTGGAGATTTTTAACATCCTCTCATTTCTTTGTAAATGCCTCTCACATTTTTGCCAATTATGATCTTTTGCTAAACCCACACAGCTGAAAATGGAAAAGCTCATGACCAGTTTTTCAGAGGTTCCTTAGTTAATTGATACAAATCTTGGATAGGTAAACGGAATATCTATTTTCTGTTTGCCTGATATATCTGTAACTTGGCTTTCCCTAAGGCCTACCCATTCCTTTCTGAGACTAGGGAAAGAAGTCTGGCTTCTTTCAGACTTCTTTGCTCATTTCATATGGGCCAAAGTAGCACAAATCATTTAAAATTCACCAGCTATTTAATCTGTTCGTTTTAATCAACTAGCTATAATTTAATATTGGTTTTATTTACTACTTACTGGATAACTATGCCAGTAAGTATAGTATTTTATTTTTTTACTGTGTTTTTCTTTTCATTTTGTTGGTGATTTTTTTCATTTGTTGTTAAACAAGACATTTATCGAATAGCTACAATATACAAGACCCACATTAGATTTTTATAAAATAAGATCCTTGACTTATTACAGAGCCAGAAGTGGGGACCCCTGTATTCATCCCTGCATATTGGTTCCATCCACCGAACAAAATTGTTTCCTCTTCTTTTCTCCCTTAAACTTCTGTACTTGCTTCTGTTTTAGCACTTACCACATCGTATTGTTTTCCTATATCTGTCTTCCCAGTTAAACTGCAAGCTTTTTAAAGGCAGAAGTCAAATATTTAATTTTGTAGCTTGGGCGCATGTAGGTGCTTTGATTACTGAAAGACGGATATATGGACACAGTAATGAACAAATGATTAAAAAAGTATTTAAACCGTTGTTTGACAGGGCAAGATTACTTTCTAATGTAATAGAACTTGGTAATATGCCCTTGAATTCTGATACCCTGACAAACCTCTTCTGAAAATCAGCTCACAAAACTACCAGGGAGAATAAAAAGGCATAGTGCAAAGCAAATGCTATGTGAAAGACAGGTGTCCAGTGTAGCATATGTGGGCCACTAATGGGTGTAGATAGAACTGTTCTCTTGCCAAGAGTCATCAGTGAGAACTCTTTAATGATGGCTTAGTTCATAGATGTATTTTGGCATGAATATCTTTGTTTAACTCAGTAAACAATAGGATCTAGTTTCATAATGGACTTTTCATACTTCTTAGGAACTTGTCATTGGGAAGATAATTATTTTAGACAAGCATACATTGTTATATGTTCGGTAACACTTATATGGCTCGGTCATAAAAGTGGTGTTTGTACTAAGCTTTTGGGCTCTTTCTTTAAACTTAATGGGAAGTGCCTTAAATGCCTTAATCTCCTTAAGACACTTCTCCCAGAAGGTCATTCTCTTCAGAATGGACCTAAAGAGTTCTAATATCTGTTAGTGTTTAATTATTTGAACTGAATATGTCAGAAATCTTAGCAATGGAAGTTTAACAATTTAAGTATAGAATGAGCCAGTATAGGAAGATTTCATATAATTTCATGATACAGCATTAAACTTTTTTTTTTAATATTCCAGGGTGCTCTGGAACAGGGCTCAAATTCTCAGCTGATGGCTGTTCAATACACAGAAACCACTAGTATCAGGTAAGACAGTGCAGAAGCTCTTGGCCAGGGAATTTAAAATAGCTGGTATTTTAAGAAAGTTGAAATTCACACTTCCCTTTCACCTTAAATTTGTTCTCATCTATGAGTTTTAGTCATATACTCAGAGAGAGAGAGATATATATATATATAACATATACTACTGAGCAGTTGGAATAAAGCCAGATAATTTCAAAAGTTCAACTCTCCCAAATCCCTTACATACAAATTTAGTCAGAATGCTGTTCCATCATAATTTTGATGAAAATCTTGAATACCCATAGCTCTCTTGCCCTTGATTTGCATCTGTTTCATGAACTTAGGGGAAAGGAATATTATTTTTTGAGTGCTCTGTGCCAGGTGTCTTCCTGAGTGCTTTACATGCATTTTATCTTTAAATCTATATAAAAACTAAAAGTATATTTTATATATAGAAAAACTGGTCAACTCATTTTTTTTTTTTTTGTAATTTTCAGAGTCATAAGACCTAGTGGCAGACTCAGCATTCGGATCCTAGCTGTTTTACTGACAATGCATTTTTCACTACATAATACTGCTTAAGATTTTGAAAGATTTCAAAGAGAATGTTGTATCTAGAAGTTTAAATGTCTTCAAAGGGAAAGATAATATGGGAAGCAATATGGTATCATGGTTAAGATGCTAGCTTTATTTGCCCTGTTGGGCAGAGTTCAAATTGTAACTCTGCCTCTTACTTTGTGGGCTCAAACAGATTACATGCAATTGAAGTTTCCTCATCTACAAAATGCTGGCTGCACAGAGATGATATAATGGTTAAATTAGATAATATATTTAGAGCACTTAGCATGGTACGTAAATGACAGTGGTAAATGATAATGATGTGATATTATTGACAACAGTATCACTGAAGTGAAAGTTGAGAATCTCAGCTTCCATCTGTAGCTTTACCACACACTTGTAGTTCACTTACATGAATTTAACATTTATTTAGAATATACTGTGTGCCAGTGTTGTAGGCACTGAGAAAAAAATACATATAGATAGATAGTAAAAATGTAAGTCAAAAGCTATTTTATTCATTATACTAATAACTGAGAATTCCTATTAAATGGCAGTGAGCAGCATATCGGCAATCATGAATGGTTAAAATCCTGAGATTGTATTATCCTGCTGAAATTGATAATTCAAATATATTTAAATAGTAACTAATAATTCTCTGCTAAGCAGAATATATCCTTCAATTACAATACATTTGTTTTAAAAATATATCAATTTTTTGATGCATGGTTATGATGGCGTGGTATTTCTTCATTAATTAAAATGTTTTAGTGAATGACAGCCAATTTTCATTTTTTGTGGATTCCGTATTTGCTAATTCACCTACTAAAATCTGCTAAAAGGTATTTGTAACCCCTAATATTAGCAGTGCTTTTGTCATCATTCGCAAACATGCGTAGATGCTCCCGGTGAGGTTGAACAAGGCAGTGTTCTGCCTTCTAGTTTCAGCTATATAAACAAGGTCCTTTTCACAGTCCACATTTTTCATATTTTTGTGCTTTTTGTTGGTAATTTTGTTGTTTGAAATGGCCTGAGGCATATTGCTGAATTGCTGTGTAGTGTTGCTAAGCCCAAATGGGCTGTGGTGTGCTGTGTGGAGAAAGTACATGTGTTAGATAAGTTTCATTCAGGCATGATTTATAGTGCTGTTGGCTGTGAGTTCAAGTTAGTGAATGAATATGTTAAAGAAGGTGTCTTTAAACAGAAACACATAAATAAGGTTATATATTGATCACTTGACAGAAATATTGTAACCAGAGGCTTGCAGGAACCGAACCCTGTATTTCCCCTAGGAGAATGGTTTAGGATTCACTAATTCATTGATGGCAGTGACTTTTTAGAACATAACTATCACAAAATGCAAGAAGCGACTATATATTCAAAATGCTGTAATCAGAAATGGCCTAGTGAACAAATGGAGTTATTTCAAAGGAAGTTCTTATAACTCATTTATTACTTCCATTTAGGTCAGTCTTTTTCTCCTCTTAAGTTAATAATATTTGATTGATACATACAAGTTTTCTCTTTGAGGAAAAACGAAGCATTACAGGATCCCTTTAACTCTTCCAGATATTGGTCCTAAACACTAGAAGATCTTGAACACATTAAGAACTCTATTAGAATCATTTGACTGTATCTTTTGGGGCATGATGTGGTTTGAGGTATTATCATTTTAGTTTTTAATTTTAGTAAGGCACACACATGGTACTTTTAATATCAATGACTAGCAATTGTTGAGTGAATCCTATGGGACAGGATCCATGCTTGGCACTTTACATATATAATATCTCCAATAACAGTCCTGCAAGGTTTGTGTGGTTATCCTCTTTTTATTGATGAGGAAACAGTTTGCTCATGGAGGGTGATTTCCCCAAGAGTGCCCACTTGAGAAGTGAAGCAGGAATTCTAAACCAAGTCTGTTTTCAAATCCTCAGCGTTTTCCACCTTTCACACAGCCTCGTAGGCAAGCACATCTTCATATATTCGACAGAGTGACGAAAAATGACTTTTCCTCAGATTTAATTTGTATTACTAAAAAAATTAAAAATCCTTCAAACCTATGTAGAAATCTCTCTATTTTCTGATACTTTCATTATTTTTACATGCTTTGCAATGTGTTTGACCATCTAGTACATTTTAGAGCCTTGATTCAGAAATCAGAATTTTAGCATTAGTGAATGGGTTCTTATAAAATATCCTGGTCCTTGGGCTTTACAAAATGTTGTTATAAAAATTACTGCCAAAGTGCAACTAATATTTTGGTTGAGAGAGATTCTTAGAATTCAGACACAGCCTTAGAATGGGAAGTATTTTGGGAAGACATGAAACTTTTTATTTTAGTAATACCTTATATTTTTCTTACTTTAGCAGGAACTCAGGGAGTGAGCTACAAGTGTATTATGCTTCACCCAGAAGTTATCAAGACTTTTTTGAAGCCATCCGCAGAAGGGGAGACACATTTTATGTTGTGTCATTTCGAAGGGTAAGTTCATCTTGAAAGAATTGAGTGCTTGCCGTACATAAGACATTGGGCTGAATATTGTGGAAAACACAAAGATGTGAGAAATAGGAAGCAATATAAAATAAATTATGTGAGTGGAACAGTCTAGGTACTGTAATACATGCTTTACTTTGAGCTGTTGAGTATTATAAAGATGAACGTGGAATTGGTGTCAGACTATGAGTTTATATTTAGGAAATATAAACTACTTGTTGATTTTTACTGTTTGTAATCCTGATAGCCATACTGTTTATAACGAAAGAAAAAGTAAAAACATAAAAATATTCTATTTAGGCTTTTCCTATTTAGGCTTTTAAACCAATTCCCATTTGATTATTGAGAAATAGACTTCTGAAATGTAGATTTGAGATGGATTATAGGCTGATTATTAATTGTGGAATGTTTGGATCTGTGTTCCTAAGACTCTCTATTCCTCTTTTATCTCTTCTTAATTAAACATTTGGTTGGTGAAGAGTGCATTAGATAATCAGTTAGCTTATGTAAAAGTAAATGTTTATACTAGCACTTTTGAATGTTATGAATATTAGGCTAAATGGAAAAAATGCATAGCTGTTTATATTTCATCTACTTTTTCTATAAAATGAAAATAGTTTCTTCATAGAGTTGCCATGTGAATATCTCTGTTAGAGTGCTGTATGTTAACCCAGGAGCACATGAATGAATTAGAATTCCTCAGTGGTGGTTTCTATCCCAAGCTGTTTTTTCTTTCTCTCTTTTTTTAAACAAAAGAAGGGATCTCACTATGTTGCCCAGGCTGGACTCAAACCCCTGGGCTCAAGTGATACTGAGTAGCTGACTTTTTTTTTTTTTTTTTAAGAATACACTGGGTGTGGTTAGAAGTAAGTACAGTTGACCCTCGAACAACACAAGTTTGAATGAAGCAGGTCCATTTATATGTGGATTTTTCTCAACCTTAGCAGGATGCCAAACTCACTTATATGCAGGGCCAACTTTTCACACATGTAGATTCCACAGGGCTAACTGTGGGACTTGAGTGTGTGCAGATTTGGGGATACACAGGCAGCTCTGTAACCAGTCCTACATAAACAGGGGGACGAGTGTCTATACTAACAGTAGAATGAGCAAATTCGTTCTCTGATTATTACCACTTACTATCACTGAAATTCTCAGTTAACTAGTTAATTCTTTTCCTAAGGTATAAATATCTAGCAGCTCAGGTTTTTAGGACCAGAGAACTTTGATACTTGAAAACTAGGGAGATCAAACATCTTATATATTTTCAGTTATTAATCAAAAATGCTGAGAGATTTGGAACACTTTAGCCATAGCGTCTCATGATCACTGCCTTTTCACAAAATTCCCTGTGTTCACCTTACTCTCTCAGATGTAACTGGTATATTTCTATACAGCACAAGCCTCAAAGTTTCTTTTCAGCAGCAAGGGGGCAGCTAAGAACAGTGTTTCCCTCAAGGCTCCAACTATACTGGTCTATGAAAACAAAGTATTTCCTTTACTATTGACATAATTATGTTCAAAGTAGGAGAAAAAAAGTAAACTTTTAAGAATAAGATTCAGCACTGTGAAGAAGAAACCTGCTGGGTGTTAAAATGATTGTGTTGAAGTGTATTTTATGGAAGTTACTGTAGAAGAATGTTTTTCATACTCAATAGACAGTTTTTCTGAGGTTCAGGGTAACTACTGTATTATTTGATCAAAACAGTATAACAGATATTAGAAGTAACACTTGTCAAGCCATGGATTGAAGTCATGGTTAGTGCAGTTTTTCTAAGGGAAGAAAACAAGTATTTTTTATAGAGAAAACAATCCTAGCTTTTTTTTTTTTTCTTTTGAGATGGAGTCTCTCTCTGTTGCCCAGGCTGGAGTGCAGTGGCGCCATCTTGGCTCACTACAACCTCCACCTCCCAGGTTCAAGCAATTCTCTTGCCTCAGCCTCCTGAGTAGCTGAGACTATAGCCGCATGCCACCACACCTGGCCAATTTTTGTATTTTTAGTAGAGACGGGATTTCACCATGTTGGCCAGGATGGTCTTGATCTTCTGACCTCATGATCCACCCGCCTCGGCCTCCCAGAGTGTTGGGATTACAGGTGTGAGCCACCGTGCCCAACCAATCCTAGCTTTAAAGGGACTGTATTTTTATAAAAGACAATGAATGGTGGTTTAAAAATATATATATGCATTGCATTTTTTTGCATTTGTAAAAAGTGATTTCTCATTAGTTTGCTATAAAAATGCTGTTAGAAAATTATTGAATTCCACTCCCCCGGCAACCCCTTGATGTTCAGGAAGACTCTTAGGACTGTTTCTCACACAAATACTTTTAGGAGTATGTCTAACATTCTGTTTGGATTTTTCATTTTCAAATTACTGATTTATCACATTTTGGTGTTTTCTATCAAGGGAGAGTAAAGATAAACCTGAACTGAATTAGATAATAGTAGTTAGACAACATCCTTTTCTATTTTTTCTTGTTTTGGTTCAGTAGTAGGGAAAAGGAAGTTAATTTTATGTTGATGACTGTAAACTATGTTATGGGACAGGAATTTAGTTCTTAAATGCCTGGATTGTTCTTTTTGCTCTTGCTGAAATGAAAATGAAATAATAAATTACCTCATACTTGGTCTTCTCTTTCATCTTTCAATATAAAATATTCTAACAGTTTCATTAAAAAGGTGAGTGGCATCATTTCTTGTGCAGAAGGATGTAGACTTTTTCTCCCACTTAGGTTCTTAATTTTATTGGCAGAAATTACTGTAGTTGATACTACATTGGAAATTCAGAAGAAGATTCCAGAGCCCCAGGTTTCAGCTTAGCATGAACCACACATTTATAATGAAGCCAGTAAGCAAGCCATGTTATTTTATTTTATGAATGGACATGTATTTAACAAAATACTTTAATATCTATAAATGTAGAAATAGCCATTGACTGTTTAGTACTGTTATTTAAGCCACTCTCTCCCAAATTGACACTCCCTCACACCCTGCATTCCTGTACCTTTTAATCTCTTTACAGTTGAGCTGTTGAAATTATTTTCTCTAAAGCAGACACAATCTTGGGTAACTACTGAGTTCCTGTTATAGCTCAGCAAGAAAAAATGCTTATGATCCCAGTAGTTCAGACAAAGGTCCAAACTGCTTCTGTTCTTTTGACTTTCCTTAAAGAGTTTTTTACCACCAACATAGTAACCTATTCTGCTTTCTTTGCTTAGTTCTAGTTATTTGTAGCTTATTTTCCTGTAAATACTTTGCCTTTTCCTCCTCTCTTTGATTTGTTTGTTTTAGTGTGATTTGGAGAGGGAGGTTGAGGAATAACTTTTTCTCAAACTTCCAAGTCACTTTGTGTGTAGAATAACTGATACATTAATAAGAAAAAATCCAATTAAGTTTAATGCTCTTTTTGTTTTTTTTGTTTTTTTTAAAGAGACAAGGTCTCTATTGCCCAGGATGGAGTACAGTGGTACAATCATAGTTCACTTCAGTCTCCAATTCCTGAGCTCAAACAGTTCTCCTGCGTCAGCGTCCAGAGTATCTTGGACTACAGGAGAGTGCCACCACACCCAGCTAATTTTTATTTATTTTTTGTAGAGATGGGGTCTCACTTTGTTGCCCAGGCTGGTCTTGAATTCCTGGGCTCAATAATGCTTCTTTTAAAAATGCTTTTGTATGATAGACTATTTAGGGAGGGAGGGAGGAGGTTGATTAAATAATATAACAAAATGAATTCAAGAGCTAAGACAGAAACAAATACTCAGGAAAGCTCAAGTAAAGTTAATAAGAAGATGATTTTAAAAGGGCAGAAAAGAAACATTGAGAAGAAAGGTGGGGAAATGATATTAATTTATTATTTCAATACACATTTAAATACCATCCTTACATGTTGCTGTCTCATCCACTAATATATAGGAAAAGCATTTCTTCCTGGGGCAGTTTTTCCTTAAAAACAGGTTCTCTTTGAATCAGATGACTATGAATGTCAGTTTGCCATATTATCTCTACTTGTTTAATATTTTTTCTTTTACAAATGAGATGGATGCCTACTTTGGGAACATTTTTTATTTCTATTACATTTTCTGTTTTCAGTACCTGTCTCAAATTGTAAGTAAACACGTAAAGTGTCTTTTCATCAGTTTCAAATACATACATAATATTACAGAAGAACCTGAGCTATAGCCATATGACTGCCCGAGAGGCATCTCTTTCTCTTCTCTTTCCAGGTATTTTATATATTCTAGCAATAGTACCATATTTGGGTATTTACCCCTTACTGATCCCTTCTAAAAATTATTAACACTATCATATATATGGCATGGATTATAAGGGTAACCTTAAGTAATAGGGACTTGTTGTAAGATACGTGAGATTAAAGAAGCACAAGAAACTGGCTCAGAATCCAAATAATCCCTCTGTGCTTGTGCTTCCTAGGGTGGAATATATACTAGTCTTCATGGAGAATTGGAATAGGTTTATTGTCATTTCTGATTTGACAGCAGCTCCAGTGATTCCACGTTAGTCTTTTTTACACATTACTGATTCATACTCCTCAAACACAAAGATCTGATTGGGTAGTTCTGTTCTCTTATGCAGAGAATTACTATGGCAGCTTTGGCTTATGATCCATAGTTATTCATTTGTGACAAGTGAAATAGGGTTGGCTTCATTAAATGTATTCTCTTGCTTTGTAAGCCAACAGCTTTATGCAGAAGGAAGAACGTGGGGCTGCTCTTCTGAGGAAATGATTGTGGCAGGTGCTGGGAGCTTCATACACTATTATACCACAAACCTGTTTTTTTAATTATTATTATTTTCCCCCCCATTTTTAGTAAGTGTGCATTAAATTCTTTCTTGTATTGCTTCCTAATTGTTTGATCTAAAAGGCCCATCTTCTCATCTATATGATAAGCCTTTTGAAGGCAGTAAATATCGTATGCTTCTGTGACCACCCCCGACACTCAGCGATGCCTACCACTGAGTGCTTACT